TATATATATATATATATATATATATATATATATATATATATATATATATATATATATATATATATATATATATGTATATATATGAAAAAGCAAACAAGGAACAAAAGACTGAAGTTATCTATTAAAAAGTTTGAATGGAGTTCTATGCATCAAACGGATTAAGCTGTTTAAATGCAGATGGTTCATTCTAATAACTAATGGTTTAAAAGAAACCTCAGCCAAACTGATTGAAGAAAAGCAACATAGCATTGCCTTGCAAGCACTTTCAAAATGGGTTAAGATGACCTTGAAAAGAAACAAATGAAAATCAAAGATTTCATTAAGACTGCCTTAAATTCCAAATTAAGTATTCATCAAAAAGCATGCAATTTGATTTCGATATAAGACTCCAGACAGAAATCCTTTAATAAAGATCTGAAGTCTGCTGTAAAGTGGTACAGCGGCTGCTTTAAAGTTTACTATAAAGACCAGAAGGAATTGCAGCACATCAACATCCAGATCAGACAGTAATCAGCAAGAGATCCCTAAATAAAGATCACAGATGTGTTTAAAAGAGCTCTGATGGGGAAAGAACACACAGAGGTACTTTAATACAGTCTGAGAGAAGCGATCAGGATCAACCACACAGAATACATGACGACCAACCTCATTGGGAGAGAACAGCCCAACAGTGTCTATAAAAACAGGCTGAGGTTTTCTCTGTGAGGGCTTCCAGAAAAGGAACGTAAAGACATTCACAGACTTGTTTGATTATTTGAGCATGACATATTATGCTTAATTTGTGGTCCACTTGCATACGGTTTCTCTAAATCCTTTATATTCCCTTTACCTTTTTTGGGGAAAAGACTCCAAGAGTTCCTCCATCCTCACGCATGGCAACACCCATCTCCGCCAGAAGTGCTTCTCTGTGAAAACCAATTTAGATTTTTTAAGTCAAACTTGCATATGTTTGTTAGATATACATCATGTAAAGTTGGTTATCAGTCACATTAGGCTTCAAACACCAGACCTGTCCATCCTGATGGCCTCTGTACGGCGAAGCTTCTCCTCCCATGTTTCATTGAGCTCTGCAATGATTTTCTCAGTTTCCTAGATGGCATAGTAAACCATAAAGTTAAAATATGACACCAAGTCTATGATAGTTTCTTAGATTTAATAATGTGAGGCATCTCTGCATCTTTATACAGGTAATGTCAATTAAGCTTTTGGGTAATGTAATAATGTAAACATAATTTAATTTTTTAAAAAGAATAAAAATGTGAAAATAAATATGACTGGAGTAGAGTTTGATGTTACATAAACTATTTATTATTGACATATGTAAGAATGTATTATTTTCAATCAAAATACTAATTTTAAATGCTAGCAAATAGTTGTAGTATTTATAAGGTTTGGAATTATCTTTAATTAAATTACATCTTTTGAATTATGTTTAATTTTTGTATTTTCAGTTTTATTTTTTTCAAGATTTAGTAATTTTCTTTTGTTGGTTTGTTATCATTTTCTTTTTTTATTTTAAAGTATACAATTTTTTTCACTTGTACTTGTGGTTTTAGTCCTTGAACCTTTCCGTTCTTTTTACGGAGACACCAAAAACATGATGAATTCGACTGGGATTTGCCTATTGTATCATGACATTTGCTAAAGTTGTAGGTGATCATTGAAAAGTTATATATTTTTTGTTGTTGTTTATTTTAACATCCTGATTACACAAATCCCTTGTATTTTGAATATTATCAGCCTAAATAATTATAACCTAAATAGCCGGGTCCGTCACAAAAGACTGAAGTTATCTATTAAAAAGTTTAAATGGAGTTCTATGCATCAAATGGATTAAGCTGTTTAAAAGAAGATGCTCTGCAATGATTTTCTCAGTTTCCTAGATGGCATAGTAAACCATAAAGTTAAAATATGACACCAAGTCTATGATAGTTTCTTAGATTAAATAATGTAAGGCATCTCTGCATCTTTATACAGGTAATGTCAATTAAGCTTTTGGGTAATGTAATAATGTAAACATAATCCCTTGTATTTTGAATATTATCAGCCTAAATAATTATAACCTAAATAGCCGGGTCCGTCACAAAAGGCTGAAGTTATCTATTAAAAAGTTTAAATGGAGTTATATGCATCAAATGGATTAAGCTGTTTAAATGAAGATGGTTAATTCTCATAACTAATGGTTTAAGTGATGACTTATGGATCTCAAACTGGATTCCCGGAGGGCCACAGCTCTCCACAGTTTTGCACCAACCCTACTCAAACAGCTGATGTTTGATTAGGGCTGAAGCAAAACTCTGCAGAAAAAAAACTAAACAAGAGCTTTTATTCATTTGCTGTTATTATTATTATTATTATTATTATTATTATTATTATTGTATTTGCATGCATTTTCCTTAATTGAAGCACGTTAAAGCTCTCTTGGTCACATTAAATTTTCCATAAAAAAATGAATAATCATAGTTTTTGTTGTACTTTTACTATACACTAAAAATATAGAATATAATAATAATGACAGGTGTCATAATCTATAACTGTAGTGTGCATCCTGTGAAAAAAAATAAAATAGTGAAAAAAAAATAGTGCACACTAATGCAAAAAAAAAAAAATAGTGCACACTAATGTAATTTAAAGTTTTGGGCTGAAGTCCCAAAAAAAAAAAAACATATTTCTCTCCCAAAAGAACATGTTTAAAAATCTGATGACTCATACTGCACTAAACAGTATTTCTGTGCAATTAAATGTTGTCTACAAGGAGAATGCCACGCCTCTAACAGCCAACGTCTAACCTGCAGTCACAGTTATAGAGCTGACATTCGTCAGATCTCTATTTTGAGGGTTTTCAAGTCACCTTGAGTCTCTCAATGGCTTCCTCGCTCCCGGGGCTGAACATGATGCGATCGTGCAGGCTGCTGATGGAACCGGCCCGGCTGGACAGGGCAGAGAGTGATGGAGAGGGGCTCATCCCAGTCATAGCATTGGTCACTGTGGAGAAATCACCTCTTTGATTGAGAGCTTGGCCATTATTGTTATGGTTCTTGTAATCGGATATGTCTGTCGGGGGGTGGAAGGGGCAAGGGGGTGACAGATAAAGAGTTCAGAGAGAACCAGACAGAAAAGGATGAGCAGAAGGAAGGAAAAGGTAGAGAAAAGAAGAAAGAAAGAGAAAGACATGTAGCTTGAAATGAATTTGAATCCAGAGGCCCAGAAATTTCACATGATTGGAGAAACGCCTGAGATGCGAAGAAACAACAGACAGTCACAGCCCAGTAAAAGCAGAACTCAAGCAAGAGCTGTAGCGCAAGCATCTGGCAGCACAGAGAAACACCAGCCATTTCAAGAGCAAAGTAACGCTGCAGACTACTGCGTTTACACCATGGCCGTTCAATGACAGCAACCTGAGAGCCACGGCTGAAATATTTAGCAGGCATGCATGCATTGATCCGTCCTGTTATTTGACACTGCTTTTCTGTATTTGCTAGTGTGCGTTGAGCAAAAAAATGCTGTTAGTCCATTCAAGCAACTAAATAGACATCCATTCATGGTCTTAAAGAGAACAGTTAAGTCAAAAAAAAAAAAAAAAAAAAAAGATGTCATAATTTATTCAGACAGACTCACTGAGATCATTTTCTTTGATCATTTAGTTTGTAAATTCAATGTTATAGTGAAACGATTACTTTAGCCAAAAAAAGCAAGTGAAACTTACCTTTGCACAAACAGACATTTCAGCTTATATTTAAATGTTTTTTTTAATTATTGTACAACATACATATGATATAAAAAAATTAAACAAGTCTAATTAAATGCTTTCTTTCTTTCTTTCAGTAATTTATATCTTTAAATACTTTCCTTATTTCAGAAAAAAAATTCAAAAATGTATAAATTATTTATTTAAATTCTTTCTCTTTTTCTCTTTAAGTTCTTTTATCGGTTCTCTAAAGATTACTTATTGATCTAAATAATTTATTTCTCTTTAAATTATTTTTTTCTCTTTAAATTAAAATTGAATCTAAATATGAATTAAGATAATTCAAGGTTAATTAGAATTGTAATTTATTTTATTAAAAAAAGCTACATTTGCCCAGGTAAATCCCCTGAACTAGAGGTGTGCGTGGGAAAAATTGTCATGTCCCACTCCCACAAGGTTTTATTATGCGCACCAAATTCAGATCTGGTTTCCAAAATCTCATGTTTAAATTGGATACTAGCAAAAGAGAGAGAGATATAACAGATAAAACAGTAGGTTGTGCAAGGATTGTAGGCTAAATGTCAGTTTTCTTCACTTTGCTCTTTCATGTGGTAAAGCCTGCTCTGAGGACTGTTATGCATATGATGCACGCACAGACTGTGAAAAAAAAAAGTGTGGAGAAAGCACTAGTCATCCGTTCAGCATGTGTAACAGTCGTGCACACTGGCTGCACCGGTGCTCAACAAATATGAGGAAATCATATGCTGCTCTGAAATAACTTTGGAATAATAACATTGGGTTAATAACGCTATATTGATAGACAACCAGGGTTAAATTACACCAGGGTTACCGACCCTTACTGCGTGTTTTTTAGAAATTTATTCGGAAATTTTGCTGTGGGAATGCAGACCTCTTTCCATGAACTGGATCTTTTCTATCACTCAATATCTCTTACAATATCTATAGCAATTGCTCATAAAAAAACTCAAATATTAAACCTAATTGAACATTAGGAAAGAGTTTGGGGTTTGTGTTGAATTTTATATAATCAGTTTTTTATTATTATTTGATAAGATGACAAATGTTGGATTATTACTTTTTAATAGCAATCAAGTTACTTCAAAAAACTTCAGATTAGTTTATTTAAGCTCATTTTGCACACTGAACCCAAACAGACATTAATAGTATTGACAAAAAACAAAACCTTTTTTAGGAACATAAAAGAACACAAGGATGGCTTAATGATGACTTTTTCTTAACATATCAAAAGCCGAGTTTGTGGCTTTAATGCACACATGAAGCCTTCCAAATGCTTATAATAAAAAATTCTTTATCTTCTGGGAAAAGGTTCCTAAAATAGCGATGACTTAAGCTGTATTGCATGGATTTTTGCCCAATTAAACGCAGTCTAGAAAGAGAATGCTACTTCCACAAACCAAACAGGAAATGAAATCACAGATAATGGCTGTGATGAGGCTAAAAGCTATCAGCCTGCTTTTTTAAGCCCTTCTATATATGCCCACATCTCTCATTGTTATCCAGCAACGGCCCATCTCTCACACTAATTAACAAACAATTTATATAAGCAAAAAGTTGTGTGTAGTACATCATCTAAACATTAGCAATGAGCTCATATTTCTGCTAAAAGCCAGTGACCATCATTAGCGTCATCGTTGACTAGAATGATCATCATCCATGACCACAGTAAAACCTCCATTACCAGCTCCATTATCCTCCCATAAAATCCATCTGACAGTAAAATAACTTACAGCCAACATTTGAGGCAGAAAACAACATTCACAACTCTTGTAAGCTGCACACAGGAAATATCCTCCCACGGTTCTCACTAGGAGAAAACAAAGCCAGCATATTATGCGATTCATCTATCCGGCCACTAAATATCTTATATCCAGAGATGAACAATTATGCTAATACCATATGAAATATCACCAGAAATGTCAATAGACATAATTTAACATGATTCGTACTCATTTATACAAACAATCAATTAATCAATTATTCCATAACTTTATTTATGCAAGAGGTGCTTTGTCACAGACATGAATGTGAAATTTATGGGGTAAATATAATCTTTAAATCCCCATAGGCCTTGACTTTAGGCATTATATCTACCTATCATTAAAACGGGACTGTCAATCATTACAACTCTACACTGAAAAAATGTTTCTGCTAAATTGTTGCAAGCAATTTATATGGGTTGAACTTAAACAAATTTAAATTAGTGATTTACTAATTTAAGAACTAAGTTTGTTTGTTTAAATTCAACCCAAAATAATTGTTTACAACCACTTATTTAACTTACATAAAAAGTTACATTCAAGGAATCATCATTAAATCATTTTTTCCAGTGTACAACATTTAGCTATCTTTATTCATCTCACTAGAGCTTCCACTATGAATGCATCTTACGACATGTGTCAGAGGTCAGACAAAAATAGAAGCTGCTAGAAGTCAGTGATTTATGTAAATTATTTAATAACTTAAAATGTTTTTTTTTTTTTTACATTACATGCATTAAGCGGGACGAGTTGAATGTTTTGCACGATTGACATGCTTAACGCGCGTGAAACTGCTTGAGTTGAAAAAATGTAAACTTCAACAGACATTGACATGGGACTTCACATGGGTTGTGATTATGACGTAATAAATCCTGCTATTCGCATGCAAATAGATGCATGAACATTTTGAGTTTACTCGCTTTATTCACGCATCAAATCCGCTTCACAATAGACGTGGATTTGCATCATGGGCAGGGATTCTGTTTGCCTGGTGACTGTAGCTTTATTACTAAATGGGTAACATGGATTTTACTGAGAGAATAACTGTGTTTATGTGCTTTAGGAAGGCTGAAAAACGGCATCAATACGTTAGGCGCTATATCTGAGTCCACTAGATCCTTTCAGAGGTGCAGCAGCTCTGTGAGTTCATAAACTCCTCCAGAAACCTAAGCTGGATGATGGAGGCTTTCAGCTGTGCTTCCGACTGAGCCAAGCCCAGATTGATCAACTGTTGTCGGTGTCAACAGGAGGATTTCCCCCCGGGACACCAACATCAGGCGCTACGTCATAATCAGGCCCCTACAAGGGAAAGCTCCTGATTTGTTAATGAGGCGCGAATGTCTGCTGAAGTTCAGATTTTTCCAACGTCAATCGCTCAAAACGATCAGCGCCCACCGCTTCATTTGCGCAAATCGCATCATTAATAAATCGCATCATTTGCGCCACCTCATTTGCGCATATAGTGCTGCAGTATGTCCATTCGCACCTTTGCATTGACTTAACATGTAAATCTCTCGCGCTTGTTGCTTCTTCTACGTCTGGTGTAAACGCAGCATTAGAGCCATGGCTGTGGCAAGGTCACAATACTGTGTCGAAAATGAAACTATTTATCTTGTAAGAAAACAATAAACACAATTATTCCAGATGCACCACTGTATTAAATTTTAGCAAATATGAACAAAACATGGAAAAAACACCTCCATCTTCCACAACAGAGAATTTCCCTGAGTGCTGCGGCTAACCGCGGTTAGTCATGGCATTCTGTTCTCTGAGACGTGCATTTCTAAAGGCCACATCTGTATAGCATGAAGCTAATTTGCAGCTCTCATCCCTGGTTAGTATTTACATTAAAACAATAAAAGTCAAAAAATTAGAAAACATGATAATACGACAAACATGTACAGTTGACAGTCAAAATTATTAACCCTCCTGTGATAATAACAGTGACCTTCTTGCTGTGAGGTGGACGTGCTACCCACTGCACCACCATGCTGCCTGGAATTTATCACAGTACTTCCTATTTGTTCTTCTTATTTATTTTTTTTGGCTAGAATAAAGGAAGTTTTCAAGAAAAAATATTATTAGACACAATAAGCAATATTTATTTTTTTGATTGTCTATAGAACAAACAAAACCATCGCTATACAATGACTTGCATAATTAACATAATTAACCAAGTTAAGCCTTTAAATGTCACTTTAAGCTGAACACTAGTATCTTGAAAATATGTACTCTCTCCAAGGCCAAGATCAAAGAAATCAGTTATTAGAAATTAGTTATTTTTAGAAATGTGCTGAAAAAATCTGTTAAATAGACATTGGGCAAAAAAATAGGCATACAGAGGAGCTAATAATTTAGGAGGGCTAATAAATCTGACTTTAACTGTAACTGGAAGTATTTTTACTTATTGTCTTCATGTAACATGATCTGTACTTACTGTAATGTACTAATGATTTCAGCATTAATGGAGAATCAATCATTTTGACTCATACGATGTATTGTTGACTAAAATAGACCCATGCAACATAAGACCAGCGAGGGTCACATATAATCTACTAAGAGTCTGTATTTGCAAGGTCTCTGCAACTTTCAGCGCAATAACAGCTCTCAGTGCTGCTATAGAAACAGTGCTACTACACTCCTCAGAGAGCAAGCAGGCAAATATCTTGGGGAAAACGTGAGAAGACGTGGCCCCTGGTGATATATGACTAAGATGGAGATGTACTATTCTATGCATATAACAGCTGATAGGAGAGGATTACATAATGCACCTCGGCTAATACTTTCTGCTCGAAGCTATACTGTGTGCCAGTATGAATGACCTCTTTTCGTGGCTTGAGATTAATGAAGCTTTTCTCTCCTCTCTGCATCTATCTCAGCTTGAATAATGGCTGCATTAGGAGCAGAGAAAATGCAATCAAACATGGTCTAAAAATATTTTTCATGACTGGCCGGTGCCATAAGAGAAAATGCATATAGATTGTTTTTTTACCTTGCGCAGGATTATTTATCCTTAGTGCAGGTATTATTATTATTATTATTATTATTATTATTATTATTTCTAATTCTTTATCTGATTACTGTTATGATTACCAGCAATCTAGCATTTGCAGATTGCTAAAGAACTAAACATCAGCCACTTTACCGAACTACAAATCCCATCATGCACAGCACTCACACACCAGTTCTAGATCACCCCTTGATTTCACAGACACAGCTGCAGATCATCCTCACTTCTTACATAAACTATTAAAGTACCACAGTC